AAACTTAACACGAAATTAAGTCTAATCCTAACATTTGCATGATCAAAAGGTTGTTATTAATTATAGAAGCCATATTTATCATTTATGAATTGGTATATATACCAAATAAATAGATTTAGCATTTCGTACATGTATTTGCAAACTATTTTGATTGTTCAATCAACTAATTCAATTGTCAGGTCTTGTGAGACTGCAAGTCATACATAATTGATAACACCACAAAATGAGTACCAAAAAGATTTTAATTAAAAGAGTGCTTATTTTTTTTGAATTGTAAACATATTTCTAAAAACATTTTTATTTTTTGAACTATTTTATTGTATAATAAATTAGAAAAAGTCCTATATTAGTTAAAATTGGTAAAAAAAATCTGCCCAAACACACTAAATTGTCATATTCTATTATTTTAGCACAACCCGAGAGTAAAAAAATAATAAAACTCAAAACAATAGAAAAACTTAATTACATAATGATGAGAAAAAGAAAAAAGAGAGAGATTGGTGAAAGGACAAAGAAAGCGTGCACTTCTCAACATATATAGAATAAGAGCGAGTGGGGGGTTTTGGTGTAAGGCTCTTTTTCGTCGACCTTGAGGCTCATTTTGTTTCGTCGGCCCTCGTGGTACTCACGTGCCACATTTTAAGACCTGGTTCTGCTGAGTCATTCTACTTAACGGACAGCTGTACAAATTTACCGCTCTTTTTTTTTTTTTTTTCTCCGCTGCACTCCATTTCCGCTCTCCACTCCACTGCAGCTCTGCTCCGCTGCGGTTGTACTATTTCTGCTGAGTCATGTGTTTTTTTTTTTTTTTTGTACTCGATGGAGCTGGACAATTAATGGACTTTTTCTTTCAGCTAGAGCCATTCTTTCCTCTTCAACATTGATAGTTTCCTCCGTCGTTAAGCCAAAATGGTTTCCGTCGTTCCCTCTTTTTTTTTTTTCCTTTTCGTTTTGCTGTGGATGGAATTTTTGCGGTTTGGTGGTATAGAGGTATCTTCCGCGAGGCGCTTTCTTTTTTTGTTTGTCCTTCTAAAGGTATTGCCTCCATTGTTTTCTTTTTTTATGGATTTTTTGTGCTATTTTTCCCGGTTGTTTCTTCATCGATTTTAAGCTGGAATGGTTGTGGTTTGGTAGTACTCCCGCCATTTGCTCTTTTTTAACCTTTGCTGCGGCTGGAATTCTTGCGGGTTGGTAGCATAGAAGTATCTTCCACCAGTTGCTTTTGTTCGGCTTTTTTAAGGTATTGCCTCTGTTGTTCTCTTTTATGGTTTTTGTTTTTTTTTTGTGTTATTTTCCCAGCTGTTTTTTACCTTCTGGGGTTCCATAAACAAGAAAGAAGAGGAGGCGTTTCTTACTGTTTTTTTTAATTCTTGTTGTAATTGTTTGTTTTTTTTTTGTGTTATTTTCCCAACTGTTTTTTACCTTCTGGGTAGAGGTGGCAAAATGGGCGGGATGGGCGGGATTTGCTTGGGTTTAAGATGGAACCGAGTCATATGGATTTGGGTCCAACTTTACCCATATATGTTTTGGGACTAACTTGGGCGGGATCACGTTGGGATGGGTTTAGATTGATCCCGCCCAATACCCAAATCTATTTTCTACATATTTTTTTCCTTTAATTTATTTTTTATTTTTTTAATATAATTTTAATATTTTTGATTTATTAAATTTCTTTTAGTTTTATTAAATAAACATGCAAGTGCTTTATACTCAGGATTATCACCAAAAATTGGATTAACAAATAAAGGAAAAGATAGATATACAATCATGACTATAAAAATTGTTAAAAATAATTTTTGAACCTAAGACTCCGTTTGGATTGGCTATTTTTTCAAAAAATAAGTTTTTCAAATACAATGTTACAGTGATATACAATAACTCAAAAAACATCCCATCCATATTAGTATATCAAATATTTCAAAAAAATTTTATAGTAAAAATTTTTCATATACACTACTACAATAAAATATTTCAAAAACAACCCCCAAAAATAGTTAATCCAAACGGAGCCCTTGCTATTTGAGCCCAATGGGTACCCAAGTATTTTCCAAAATTTCCCATCAATTAATGGGTACAATTGGGATTTGTCCCATTTTAAACCCAATATCAAATTCCAATACCCATCCCGCCCAAAGTCTCAATGGGCATGGGTAACCCATTGGGACTTGGGACAAATTGCCACCTCTACTTCTGGGGTTCCATAAACAAGAAAGAAGAGGAAACTAACAGTAACCTTCAATTAATTCTGCATTTTATTAGTATAGATCTGTGGTCCTTTCGATTTCTGGACTCTTTTTTTTCGTTTGAGAAAGAGCTGCTAACAGTGAAGCATCTTATGTCCTTTAAAGTACTGCCTTCATTATTTTGTTATTTTCCTTCATTTTTTTTTATTTTCCTTCATGTTTGAAAGAGCCTCCATGTTTGAATATAGCTATAAAAGCTTCGTTTTCTCTTATCACTATTTCACATCTGCCTAGCAAGTGTTTGATAATTGTTCTGTGTCAGGGTTTACTTCCATGGCAGGAAAAGCTGCAGTGAAATCTGTGGTGAAGTCAGTTGGCGAGAGAGAGGGGAGGAAGGTTCGATCCACTAAACTTGAAAAGGTTCGATCCTCTACCGAAATTTTTCTGGCTGCTTTTCAAGTTTATTATTGCTAATTAATTGGATTACTGGAATGGACAGGTTGTTGCAGTTAAGCAATTGGATAGAAATGGGCTTTAGGGTAACCGGAAAATTTTGTTTGAGGTTCTTATGTTCAGTCTTTTATATCACTCTAACCTTGTAAATTTAATTGGTTACTGTGCTAATAGGGACCAGAGGCTACTTGTCTATTAGTTCATGATGCCCTTGGGATCATTGGAAGATCATCTTCATGGTATCATTTCAGGCATTCTTGTTCATTATCTTGTCAATTATTTGCGGTTTAGTTATTGCATGTTCATCAAGAAGTCCATTCCATTTTTATGTTGAATTTACATGTTTACTGAAATTTACAAACTGCATAAACTTTCTTAAGGAAGGCATGATGACTGTGTAAGTTTTGTTAGAAAGTTAATTGGGTTTTTTATACTTAAACTAACTTTTATGTTGAAGAGTCCAAATTTTCTAAAGAACTAAAAAATATATAAACAGTCCTATTCGCTTAGGCATGATGTAATTCTAGAAGTAAAAGTTTGAAAGATTACCTTTCTTTATTGCAAGTAATTATGCTATGCCTGGTTTCAGTCAGTTTGAATATAAATTCTGTGTTGGGTTTCATTTTTGCTTGATGAAGGTGTCTAAGCTGCTGGAATCAGAGAAGTTGATACTGAAGGATCTTAATCATGAATTTGAAGAAAAATTAATTCTCTGAGTCATTAAAAAAATAGTTATTAGGTTTTCAAGATCAGGTTGTAGCAACTTTTTATTTTTTGAAGCATATATGTCTACATAATCTACAAGGAACATATGGATAAGTGGGAGAAGGAGATTCAAGAACTACGGTTGCTTGGTGCATCAAATGAGAAGGCTAATGCTGGATATCTACTTCAGAATGTTCCTGATCAATCTTGGAGGTAAATTCTGGCATCACTTTGTCTATAAAAAGGAACACATTAATTGGATGAAATTAATAGCTTCTTATTAACATTGGCATCTTTTGAGCTGCAAAATTGTAATTAAGAACTTAGAAAAAGTGTTTGAGGTTGTTGGCTGCAACATGATGATCTTGACATCAATATACAGAAGAATGTGGCAGTATCTTCTTGTTGTTTTTCTCTTTTTAACAGATATAGCTGATACCAATATCAAATGATGTATTCGGACTTGTGGGATTGACGAATCCGTAAAGGATGAAAGTTTTACAAATTAGCTTTGCCATCTTCTGTTTAACATGATACAATACCAATCACCACTATTCAAAACACCAAACTCTCCATTCACCATTCAAAACACCAATCACCACTATTCTAAATATATGGAGACCACAACATATAAAAGCAGATTTTTGACCATTTAGAAAAAGCTTATATCAGTTGCTTCTGGTGTATCATCTGGACTGACTGCCTGTATCTTGTGTAAATGTTTATCCAGAACTTGTGAAATTTGTGGTGCCCCTGCGATGAACATTGCTGGAGAACAAGCAATTGAGGTGAACAATGGCACTGGTAGAGCTACTGCAGCTTCAACAGCACCTATGGTCTTCTCCGACACCCGAAGTTACTGCCATGGTCGTCGTGTCATGAATTTTCTTCTTGGGTGCATGGTTTTTGCCTTTATTTTTTCACTTTAAAATACTGCCATGAATCCAGAAGAGGAGCAGCATCTGGATCAGAGCACAAGGAGATCTTCGCATGTGTGTAATAGGAATAGGCAGTATAGTTTGCAACAATAGAAGATTTTAAATTGTTCGCTACTGGAATTTTATTTATAGTGTGTAAATTATGCCGAGGACTCAGTACCATTTCTTGCTAATTGTTAGATTATATGCGAGAGATGAAATGATTTGAGGTGTTGTCCTGGTGATTGATGACTTCTTCCTCATTTGGCCACGCACTCCCTGGTGGTATGGTAGCCTACCTTTTTTTTTTGGTCAAATGTCAATGTGGTAGTAACCTCTTATCTTACTTTTGCCTTTTCAGATGTCGTGTTTATCTTTAGTTGATTTTTTTAATGTATAAAAGCGATTACAACATTACTATTCAATACAGAAAAAAGACCTGCCATGCATATTCATACTGATATACAAAAAAAAAATTTGCGTGCCATGCTGGATAAAAGAAGAATGCACCAAAATTTAATCACTTCCTTAATCCGTACATTTGGCAGGGCATATTGTATTTAGGTACCTACGCGCATCGCGCGTTTTATACCTCCTAGTTGCATCTAAATAAGGAAAAGGGGTGCTTTTTATATGTACGGAACTAAGAGCGGCAAACTAAAAATTTCAAGTGGCATGGCTGGCTGAAGGGACTTTAGGGAAACGACACCGTTTGACTCTATGTACTAATAATTTAGCCAAAATTTTAAGACATCTAAAATGCAGTATACCAATTCACAAACCTTTCACCCCCATCAGAAATGGCTTCCGCCGCTGCTCTTCCTGTAGTTACCGTTATCCCTCTTGAGAATGAAATGGAGGCCGACGCCAACTCCCTCCTTCTACCTGACGTCATGAAAGCCCCAATCCGGCCCGATATCCTCCAAGACGTTTATCGCGACATCTCCAAGAACTCTCGCCAACCCTACGCCGTCTCTAGGTCCGCTGGCCACCAGACCTTCGCCGAGTCATGGGGTACTGGTCATGCTGTTTCCCGTATCTCTGGTGTTCCTGGCGACGGCACTCACCGTGTCGACAAGGGTGCCTATGGCAACATATGCCGCAGCGGCCGCATGTTTGCTCTGACCAAGATTTGGCGCCGTTGGCACCGCAAGGTCCCAGTCAACAAGAAACGGTATGCCGTGGTTTCTGCCATCGCCCTCTCTGCAGTGCCTTCCCTTGTCATGGCCCGTGACCACAGCATTGAGTCTGTCCTGCAAATCCCCTGTGTGATCTCCGATTCTGCTGAGGCCATGGAGAAAACCTCCAACGCTATCAGTCTTCTCAAGAAAATTGGGGCTTACCCTGATGCTGAGAAGGCTAAGGACAGCCAGGGTATCTGCCCAGGAAAGGGTAAGATGTGTAACTGCCGCTACATCTGCAGGAAAGGTCCTCTGGTTGTGTATGGTACTGAAGGGGCTAAGCTTTGTTAAACTGCCGATAGCTTTGTTAACCTAGCTTTGTTGCATTTTTTTCCAATTCGGCAGGAACTTCTCACCCATAGAGGTAACTTTCCTTTTCTTTTTAGATCCAGCACCTTACACTATCGGAGTGCAACTAGCAGATTTTGAAGTCTTTTAGTTATTAAGTTATTGTAGATTACATATTCTAATCGCTATAAGGTTTTTACAGTAGTAACTTTGAGATTTTGGGCAGAATTGCACTAAAACTGCATTTACACAAAGAGGCAACCATGTATAATCAGCTTTCATTAATTTCTTGGCTGGTATGATACCAAAGATAAATACATTTTAGTCCCCTGTTTTTATTTTGTAAATTTTGTTGGAGATTTGACATTCAATCATTTGTTCATTTGTTTTCAAGGACTAGAGACAATTTTGTGATGGTAATGGTGCTGAAAATTGGAAAATACTATAAAATAATTTTGACTTTTCAAAGTTTGTGTTCCTTTAATATATCTAGTCTTGCTTTCATTAGTTGGCCAACTTAGCCATTTTTTGTTTCCTTTTTGATGTTAAAAGCAGAGAATTAGTTGCTTGTTTATTGAACAAAGGAGAAGGAATTTGATGTCAAAGGAAAATTAGATTGTAATATCAATCTCACAAGTTCAATGAAATTTAGTCCATATGACAAAATAGGGGCCGTTGGGAACTTGTCTGGCATGAGTTAATGTTGGTAAGGAAAGCCACATGCAATGGCCTGCTGTATCTATGAGTACAGATTGTGATAGCTGAAACTATCTTCATAAGTTGTTGTTCGTTAGCAGACATTTATGACAAGCAACCTTCATTATTTAGATAGTCTGGATTGATTTGAGAAGTGCAAAATTCTAATTACACCCATGTAAGTACGGAATATCTATCAATGTACTCACCAAAGTTTGGAATTTTAATTTGGCCCTACAAATTTCAAACATACTGTGGCTTGATTTGAGAAATGACAAATCCAATTGAAGACATATAAGTATGAGATGTTTGTCCTTATCCTTATAAAAAAAAAGGAATTCGTAATTTGGCCCTGCAAAATACAGTATTGTGTCAGCATTGCCCTTCATACATTTATCTATGATTTCATACAGTTTTGTGTCATATATACTCATCATTTCAATTTTTCCCGCACTGCAGTGTTAAATTAGCGCATTATAATTAAATAGAAGAGCCTATATTGAACAATTCTGACATTGTCTTAATGAAGACAACGTTGAATCTAGATGGTTAGATCAGAAAATTTTGATCAAAACAATTTGCAAATTTTTGCAAAGTAATCTCAATCCATTGATAAACAATGTCAAAACCTTGACAAGAATGAGCTTTTTATCTGCAAAATGGACAGCCCTTTTATATTATATTTGCAGATTCTAAATGAATTCTAAAAATATGTAATCGTAACGGTTTGGCTTAATTAACTATTCTAGTTTCCTAATCCATCTTCTTGCAAAATGAGGCTCTGAATGGAGGTGGTACACTATTTGTGAACAAGCATCCAGACCTTGAAGTTAGAGTTGTTCATGGTAACACATTAACAGCGGCTGTGACTCTCAATGACATTTTCCAGTTTACTATGAGAACTTATAATTTGCCTGGATGCAATGAGTTTGGGGTGCGGATTCAATAAAAATTTACTAAGTTGGTGGGGTCATTTTCTTATTTATAGAAGCCACTCTTTAAGCTTAATTTGTCAATTATATCAAGTTAATTTTGGTTGAAATAACCCTTAATAGTAGAATTGAAACAAACTTGACTTTATTGATCTCTAACAAGGTACTTTGGGCAGATTTTATCTATATTCTAATTCGTATGTTTTGGTTGAAACTCTTGTTTGACTGATTCTTTTATCTCTTATCATATTGACTTAATTGGATTTTTGTTCAGTATGACTATTCATTCAAATTCAATAGTGTATGCTTGTAATGGCATTTTTTTGACTGAAATCGATTCTAATGGGTATGATACTTTTCTTTCAATGCAGTACAATGCTATTAAATGCTCTTGAGGAGATGAAAAAGGTTGGCTTTTGGATATGCTCATGAAGATGACTTCAGTTTGACACAAATTGCTGCTTTAGTCTATGTTTTTGCTTGGAAAGAGTACTTTGTTTTCTTGGATGCGTAATGGCTGTTACTAGTTGAACTGATGTGGACTTAGTACTCTATTGTTTGGATGGATAATGGCTGTTAGTACTTGAACTAATGTGGGCTTTGGAACCCATTTTGGTTAATGTGTGTTTTGATGAATTTAGAGATGTTTATAACAATATATATATGAGGGTTCATTGTACATTAATTACTATCGTTTTTTGCATTAGTCGAGCCACAATTTTCTGCTATGGTTGTGGAAAATGCAACAGAAGTAGGCTTTTTATGGCAAATTTCAAACATTGTAAACAAAGTTCAGTGACTACATCAGGGAAGGTTGTCACTAGCTACAAGTTCAACCAATGACAACAATTCTTGTCACTAATAAACAGGATTATAAGTGACATGTAAAAGTCATCATTGTAGAGATGAAATTTGTGACGACTTTTACATTATCTATGACAAAAATACAGGTGAAGCAATGACAAGAAAAGTCGTCACAAAATAGTTTTAGTTAGTGACGAGTTTTTCTTTGTCATGGAATAATATGATTCTGTGACGACTTGTTTAAAGTTGTCACATGGACTCATTTGTGACATAGAATCTGTGACAACCACGTGACAACGGAAAAAGTCGTCACTGTCTCTTATAATGACAACTTTTTGATTTTTAATGATGACATTTGGTTGTCACAAAAGCCTGATTTTCTTGTAGTGATTGTAGGAAATTTGTCTCCACGAATGGGCGTCCCACAAGAAAAGATGCTGGAATCATCAATGCACGCTCTAAACATTGATCAATCAGAGGTGACTGACAGTGATTTCCGACAAACGTGGAGGAAGGGTGTGCGGGCTTGTTTCCCATCTGACAGACAGTTACGGTCAGAGACATCATCCAAAAACTCATTCCAGGTTCTTTCTCATGATTAATGGAATATTTTGGAATATTAGAGGGGTAGCAAAAGCACCTAATCTAAGAAGATTGATTAAACTAGTACGGCTTCATCATGCTCATTTTGTTGTGATTTTGTGAGCCAAAATTAGACGTATCTAAAATTGAGTCCATTCGTTTACGTTTATTATTTGATTATGTGTTTGTTAATTGCTCGAGTAATATTTGGGTATTCTATAGTAGGCCTTTTGTTTGCTCGATCGTTGATAGTTCGGATCAGCATATTTCTCTAGATGTTCAAAGTCCATTGCTCCCTAGTCCAATTGTCACGTCCTTTGTTCATGCAAAGTGCTCAGTGGAGGAGCACAAAGAGTTATGGTGTTCCTTATTACATGATAAACCTAGATTACTTTCTTGGTGTATTGGGGGTGACTTTAACGTCATATTGGCACCTCATGAAAAACGGGAGGGGGGGGGTCGTCCATTTGCTATAGCGGAAGGGGCGGATTTTATGTCTTTCATGGAGGAGGCTGGGGTTTTTGATGTAGGCTTTTCAGGAGCTAGCTTTACATCGTCTAATAATCGGCGGAGTAGAGCTAGGATTTCAAAAAGGTTGGACAGATTTTTAGTCAATGGGTCTTGTTTGGATCTCTCTAACGCCATTTCTGTGTTTCACTTGGTAAGACATCTCTCGGATCATGCACTATTGAAGATTTCGTTTTCGACTCGGTCAGATAATAAACCTCGGCCATTCCGCTTCTTGAATGTTTGGACTACCAAACTAGAATTCTTGTAGGTGATTCGCTAGGCTTGGAATCAAGATGTGAGTGGATCTCCGTTGCACGTTTTGTGCTCTAAATTATTGGCAACGAGGAAGGCTATTCAATCATGGAACAAGCAACACTTTGGGAACGTTATCGATGCTGTACGTTTTGCGGAAATGGCGGTCCAACGAGTAGAGGAGGTTGTGGATCAAGATGATTCAGAAGAGTGTCAGATTGAGCTCAATAAGGCACAGGCAGAGCTGCGGCATGCACTGTCAGTTGAAGAGCAGTTTTGGAGGCCAAAGGCCAGGGTCAAATGGTTTTGTCATGGAGATAGCAATTCAAGGTATTTTCTTGCGGTAGTAAGGCAGAGACGGGTTCAAGGAATGATACACTGCATCAAAAAGTCCAACTGTGAGAACCCGTAAATTTTTCTTAATTTATATTATTTTATTTTATTTCCTCGCATGCATTTTTCTTCACTATATCCTATTATTTTGATTTTTTTCAGAGATTTTATAAGTGAGTAGAGTTTTTAAATCATTTTCCTAGTATAAGTTAGTCCATATTAAATTTGAAGTGCGTTATGGACGTGGGACCCGCTAGTGCGGTCAGTGTGATAAAAACTTTGATGATTAGTTGAAATTTTGCAAAGGAATATTATTTTACAAGGTGTTAGGAGATGATTAGAGATTAGTTAAATAGATTAACCATTGGGAGAAAGAAGAAAAGCTTAAACCCTAAAAGGAGCCAAGTGTCACTACACTATTGGAAGATGGATTTTGACCAAGCTTATTTAACTTTCATAAACTTCAATTTTGACCAAAATTACTTCCCTTCCTTGTCTTCCTTGGCCGAATTCCTTGAGGAGAAAAACAAGAGGAAAACCTTCAACTCCAACTCCATTTTCTTGTTCAATCTTGAGTTTCAACCAACCAAATCACAAACTACTCCATAAAAGTTGTTTACTAAGGAGGATTAAAGCTTGTAGTGGAGTGAGTTTGGGAGGAAAGATACTAAGCTATCATTTTCTGGAGGTTCCAAGGTAATTTGCTAAGAAAATTCCTCTTTGCTTCTAATAGTTGCAAATTAGTGGTTTAAATTTGTAGTTTTGGTAGTTTTATGAGCATATTTCATAGTTGAAGTAGTATTATGGAAATTTTAGTTTTTTTGGTGAATATTCTGCCCTCATATGAAGCTTAATGATTAGCCATGGTTTGCTAGTTTTGTTATGTGATAAACTAGTGCATTATGTGCTAGATGGACTTGCCTAAAGAAATTTCTAGCCTTAACTCCAATTTTCCAGCTTTAAGGATGAATCTGTTCTGTTCTGACCTGTTTAATTTGTCCATGTTAGAGGCCGAATCAGGCTCAGGTCAAAACATGAAAGTTTTAGCAAATGGTGTTAACTAGTTGCCTGCAAAATTTCAGCTCAATCGGAGCACTGTAGCTTGTAAAATAATTGAAATACCCTTGACTGCCCACAAGTCTTGTTTCACGGACAGTTTTCTGTTCTCTCTGAGATTTTAATTTTTGACCATGAAAATGCATGATTTGTCTTTGGAGGTTTTCATAAGAAATGTAGATATATGTATTGGCTTCGAAACGCCACAAGATTCGTCTCAATCCGATAAGTGTAGCTTCAGTTGTAGTTATCATGCCGAAAGGTGTATTTTATAGCCTATGATTTGTATGTGCAAATGTGGTTGAATTGAGATGGTATTGGTGTTGTTTATAGGGTGGAAAGTAAAGGAATTTAGGGGGTATGCTGTCCAATTTTTTTGGGGATATTGGATTCTTTTGAGTTTGGTTTGATTTGGGGTATAAATGAAGGGCTTTTGGGTCGTTCAAGCCCTAGGTCCTCCCATTACCTTTTCGTTCCCAAAATCACGCTTTTACACCTTTGCATTCGTAGTTCATTTGGATAGGCATACGACTTGTAGTTGAGTTCCATTTGTGAATGTTGTTCCCATAGGAACCATAGTTGTTTTACTTTGATCGTTTATAGGACGTACCAGTGATCCAGGAAGTACTTTGAGAGAAAACGTTTGAATTTGTTTTACTTGAACTGGTGAGTGTACCACTCCCCTCATTTGTTGCTTAACTTGGTTTCTGCTCATGCAATCTGTGATTTGAATGACTGTACTATCTGTTTATTCTGTTTGAGACGAGGGTGTACTTTATCAAATTCGTTCTCTTGTCTGTATGCCTATTTACTGTGAAAATTTGAATTTGTTACCTGTGCTTAATCTGCTGTCGTTTGGACGTTGCACCCAACGACCTTTCTGTTACCTTTGAGCTCAAATCCTGTGGCTAGTTACTCGAGTCGAGCCGGCAAGGGCCTGGTCGATTAGATAACGAACTACGATAGTCTGTTTCTAGGAAATTTTTGAATATTGGAGACTCTGGATTTCCGGTATATTCGAGTATTACCACTTCTGTTTCTTTTGAGGTGTTCGGATCCGGTAAGGGGTATGTTTGGTGGATGAAATTTGGTGTAAAGTGGGGTCTATGGACATGTTTGTTCTATATACGTTGACGGAGAGTCAACGGGTTTGGATCAAGTACTGCAATGGAAATTTTGGCTCTTGTATCCTTTTCATTTGAGGTGTTTGTTCATTTCCTTAAATGTTGGGTATATATGTCTTGAAAGTGAAATGCTATGATTCGTGACTACTTGTATTTGGTACCTTATTGAGCGTAAACTCACCCTTTCCCGTTATCTTTATTTTTCCTTATAGAGAACAACATTTTTGAATCGTGATTTTGAAGAAAGGGTCGAGCTAGTGTAAACATTCTTTTGTAATCAAAACTTTAAATTGTCTTTTAATCAGGTATCACGCTTTGATTTGTAAAGTTTTCAATGCATGTATTTAAGTGTTTAATCATGTAGATTAAGTGTATTCGTTTGAGATGGTACCTTTGGATTTCTTGAGTTGCTACTTGTAACCATTGGATGATCGAACGAGCATGGCGTTTGAACAGGGAAAGAAATTTCTGGCGGGGACTGTTCACCGAATCCGGCCGTGTATTCGGCTAATTCTTGGCCGGATTAGCACGGGTTTTTGAAAAATTTTGGGTTGCTCACTGCCTCGAATCTGGCCAGAAATCCGGCCGAAAATCCGGACATATCTTGGCCAGATTGTGATATGTCCGCTTCCGTTTGCATTTTCGTTTTCATTTTCAATCCTGTTGAGGTGTTTCTTCAAAGTACCCTTGTATCTTACGGTTTAGAAATCATGTTTTTCAACGTCATAGTCTTCGATTGATTGTTTTCTTGGGGTTCGATTGTGCGCTATGTAGGGTTTTGTGATTTGACTCTGTAGTCTTGGCAAGAGCTAGGCAGGCGGTCCGCCATACCCTTTGGTTCGCCTTAGGGGAAGGTGGGGCTGTTACAGGTGGTATCAGACCTATTTTGCGTGGTCTCTGCGCGGAGTGAGTTTGGGTCAAGTGGTGTTATGGCCCTGGATTCGTGGATGAGTGAAAAAGGTTAAGTGCTCTTTTGAGCTTAAGCTATGAAGCGTGACATGTTATAGGTTTTAAACCTTTCTCA